CAAACGAAGGTCCTGAACGTAGGTCCCGGATGAAGGTCCTGAACGAAGGTCCTGGACGAAGGTCATGAATGAAGGGCCCGATATTTGTTCCGTGTGAGGGCTCCGTGGAGAAGGCTCCATGGCGGTGGCTCCACGGAGAAGGCCCTACGACGAAGGCTCCAACTCGCAAGAGGGGAGAGTGAGGCGGCATCTAGGGTTCGCGAAAATGAGTGGGAGAGGTGAGAGCCTCTTGCCCTCTTGCTCTTGGTATTATAAGCGACCCCTTGGTGGGGGAAGATTTGATAAGCTACTACACTAACTCCTATTAGGCCTATTCAAGGGGGAGTTGTCCCATGTGAATACGGGCTCCACCAACACTAGGGTCAGCAAGGCCGCCTAGAACGCCACTGGATCTCATGAAGAGATGCAACGGACAGTAAGAGATTGGTGAAGTTGGGTAAAAGGGTGTAATAGATGTAAAAAGATGATTGTATGTTAGATCCTTCAATCGGCCGTGATCCTCTGATATATATAGAGGGGTTGGTCTTATCCCAGTAGGAAACAAGTCCAAATCGTAATCTTCATGTTTTCTACACGAAAATAGATCCAAAAACCGATTTGAAAACTAATCAGTTCGGACTCTAGCAGGAAAACTGGCCTGGCCATATCCCAAACCTGTCAGGCCAGTTTCGTCAGGCCCGAGAGGCTGAATTCAGCACGACACACACGGAAACCAACCTGTCAGGGGCTGAGCAGCCTTGGCTGGCCAGCAGCAGGGAAAACCGGCCCGGTCGGTCTAGGAAACCGGCTAGGCACCGATTCCCCCTCTTTTCACCTCCAAGCTCCAAATGTGATGTTCCAAAATATTTTCCATTAGCACCAGGAACATTGTCACAAAGCTCTTTTAGCTATCAATAAATTTTAGTTGTCAACCGGACGAAAGGGACGGACGCAATGAAGCCACCTGCTCCCGTCTCTACGGTGCAGCTGACACATGGGCCATGGGCACCGAAGCACCATCGAATCCCTGGTCGACAACGCACCTCACCCTAACAAGAGTCGCTGGTGTGCTACGAGCCATGCCTTGGGACCACAGGTAATTGCTCCTCGTGCATGCATGCGCCTTGGGCATGGATAAGCACGCACGGAATAAAATTGTATGGAACCGGGTCTAATTCTCTTCCATGGACCCTACTATGGATGTATGACACGTGACATCTTAAAAAATCATATGGTCAACAAATCCATCTATTTCATGCACAAATGTGTCGCACAAAGCATTAATGTATTTAGATCAGGTTGATCAACCGTATGATTAATTTCAGGTACACGTGTCATCCATCCATGGTAGGGTCCACGTAGAAAATTGGACCCGGGTCCGTACAATTTTATTCCTCGCGTATGGTGTACCGGCTGCTCCGCGCACGTGGAGAGGCGCGTGCGCGGTGATTGTGAGGAGGCGTCCCCGCCCAATCACTGCTCGACAAGGATAGCAGGAAGCGCAGGCCGCCAAATTCGACGAGCCGTGCAGGTCAAATTTACTTATTAAGTTTAACTTTAGTTATAAAATAAATTAGCAACATTTGTATCTTCAAATAAGTTTATTATAAAACTAGATTTAATGATCTATCTAGTGATACTAATTATGTATTATAAATATTAAAATGTTGTATATATTTGGTTAAATTTAAAAGCGTTTGAGTCCTAGAGAAGCGAGAATGACACTTATTGAAGGACGGAGAGAGTATGGTGCAAGCACAAGAGTTTAGTTAGTGCAGATCTCCAAACCGACGCGCAACACAATATTTTTCTTGGCTACCGTGGCCACGCCTGGCGCCTTCCAATTTCCTTAGGCCCTGTTTTGATCTATATAGATAGTAGTTATCCCTTAATAATTATCTCTTTTGGATCTAAACATGTATAGATAATAAACTAGATAATGGTTAGTTGAACCTTTAGAGAACAACTATCCCACTAGCTGAACCGAATCAGATAATGATCAGATAATGAGTCATCAGCTAGCTAACTATTATTAGATAATGAATCCAATCAGGACCTTAGAGCATTTTTAAGAGTACCCTATAGTTTCTTCCCAAAACATGGTGTTTTCCAGCTCCCAAAAAAAGATTGGAAAGAATAAATTTGGCCATCTCCAATAGTACCCAACAATTCACTCTAAAAACATATTCTAAAAGCATATTCCGATCGTTCAATGGCAATTACGTAAATACGATCACCTTCCTGTTGAGAACAAGCACGTACATGGTGCCCTTGTCGATCGTCACCTTGCTGCCTTGTGCCCGTTCCCAGTTCCTGTACCACCGAAGCCACGGCGCAGGTCGTCCTCTGGAGGCGGCGTAGTGGATGGTCCCGTCCACATCGTCGCCGCTGCTCCAGGAATCAGCTGCGTGTAGGCGCCGATGATGTCCGCGTTCCGGCCAGCAGCGAAGGAGCGGCGGATGACCTCTGTGATGACGAACCTCTGCACCATCTTGGATTCTTGGCAGCAGCGACGGCCCAGAAGATGCCGAACACCGCCCTCGTGCAGGCGTCCTGGATGCATGAGAACACGAGGCTCCACAGCCACACGATCTGCACGGCGTGCACGGCCATGGTCGAGTAGCCGGTCATCGTGCCAGCTTCGGGCACCCACATGGATTCGACTTTCTTGCGGAGGAGCTCCACGTGAGGATCAGGCGCACGCGCATGGGGAGCTCCGGCGGGCTGATCTCCGCCGGCGTGCTTGGCCTCGTACAGGAAAAAGCCGCGGAACTCTCCTGTTTGCTGCTCGAGGGAGAAGATCGGCGCGACCTGGAGGGATACGCGCGACGGGGAGAGCGCGGATCTTTACGCGTGTAGGGTGGTTTTCTCAAATGCCAAAAGATTGGGGGGTGGTGTGATTGGGAATTGTTGGAGATGTGTTTTTTCCAATTTTGCTAGAAATCCTAGATTGCTAGAAATCCTAGATGCTAGGCGGTCCTTCGAATGTACTCCTAACAAGATACGATATGTATGGGTGAGTTCATAAATAATAGAGATGAACATATGCATATGTATGTGAGTATCTATGTCTATACTGTGATTTTAAAAAAGAATAACATAATTTTGCTTTTTAAATTTAACCAAAAAGCGCCAGTAAACATGCATGCGCGATGCGATTAGATGCGAAGCACCAGCAAACATGCTCTATATCTATGCATGGGCGACGGGGTTAGATTCAAAGCACCAGCAAATTCGAATAGATTCGAAGCACCAGCAAATTAACATGCCCTATGCATGCACGATGTGATTAAGAAACTCACTGAATTACGTACAGCCGGCCAATGTCATCCGTCCGGTTGCTGCTCTGCCGTCGTCGTCCTCTTCGTCACTGAATTGCAGGTGTTCCATATGTATCATGATGCGCATCTATATGGTACATGCATCATATTCACTGGTCGATGGTACTTTTTTTGTTCCCATTTGCGAAACGATGGGTCGATATGATAGCTAGTACTAGTAGTAACGTTAAACTTGATAGTAACGTTTGCCTATTTAAAACATAATTAATAAAACCAAAGATTGAAAAGAAAACTTTGAAAAAGTATATAGTTTGATCACCAACTGAGATAATTTACGATATTTCCTATGCGGAACTGATTTACTACCGACATAAATACGGTACTGAAAACTAACCATATTTTCATTTGAACTATTTACTAACAACATAAATATGGTACTAAAAGAAATTAAAAATCAAAACTTGAAATACGGTAATGGTCGAAAACGGCCATAAACGATATCGATATTGCAGAAACGAGCGCCGGTAAATGGAATCTTCCATTCTCACTTTCATCCCTACCGATAATTTAAAGTTAGTAGCCATTGACCTATTGAATTTGTAGCTAGTTTGTTTTGTTAGATTTCTTTTGATTCTCTAGTAATAAATATGATGGCTTAGTTGGTTCCTTTAGTTTCTCGATTTTAGTTAGTGTAGCATAGAATAGAATTGTTCATAAGGTCTACTACTTTTTATGAACCCATGTGATACTGGTACTTTGAGGTTGTTATTACCTAGCAACCCATTTGATTTTGTGATAGTTTGGTTGATTCTCTAGTAAATGTGATTGTCTAATTGGATCACGCGATGTAATCATAGTATAATCTTGATGGCAGTGATATATATCAATGTGATACATTAATAATATCAAATGTAAAAATATTAGACACTAAACTCTATTTAAATGTAATAATAAAATATATCAACAAACAATGGGATGATGATGGCCAGATTGAAGCCACTAAACTGGCAGTGAGTACAATATATTCACTATCTTATATACTGGCTTCACCTAGCAGATACCCTCGTCAAATCACTACTAGGTGGAGGCAAGACCCGACAGTGATAGGTAAGCCCCATTATTATTGATTACCCTATCGGCTCCTATTCGTCGAGTGATGCCGGATTTAGACCCGTTAGTGATCCATGAATCTGAGGTAGCGACCGGTTTTGGCATCACCATCGACGAGCTTAGTGGCAATGACCTAAGTGAGCGAGGAATAGGTTTCGGCAGTCAGAGATTGTTATAAAACCACAAACGAGCAAATTGCCCTTTTTACCATACTTGCAATTGATCTCGATTCCTCGTTAAGCATGCATGGTAAATGAAAATATGTACACGTTGTCTCATTGATTTTGACAGGATATAAACTTTAAGCTTGCATGGTTACATTGTATTTGTATTTTAAAATAAATTCTAATTAAACTTTTGTTACTAGAAATTACATATTATAAGCAAAATTAGTTAAAGTGTGTGATGTTGAAGGCCGGACAGGTCTTAAAGTGTATATTATATAAACAAATATAAACTATGGACAAAAAAGATGCCTAATTTTTGGTGCGATCACCAGGTTTCTTGGCTATATAAACAGCCACCTGGGCAAAGAAGCCCAGCTATATCATCATTCGGTTCAGTAAACTGAACAACCGTTTGATAAAGCAAGCTATCCATTCAGGGGACTACGCTGCTGTGGACTGTGTGATGGCTCACGCGCATGGCCACCATGAGCTGCTGCAGCAGCGGGCCAAGTCTCCTCCACAAGTGGCCCTAGTGGTCTCTGTCCTGCTCGTGTGTCCTCTCCTCGTCCTCCTCCTGGTGCGCCGCTGCATTGGAACCACGGCGTCGACGGCCACCGCAAGAGCCAGAGAAGAGCTGCTGAGCAAGCTGCCTTCGCCTCCCCGCAGGCTCCCCGTCATCGGCCACCTGCACCTCGTCGGCCGCCTCCCGCACGTCTCCCTCCGTGACCTCTCCGCCAAGCATGGCCGCAACGGCCTCATGCTCCTCCACCTCGGCGCCGTCCCCACGCTCATCGTCTCCTCGCCGAGCGCCGCGCAGGCCGTGCTGCGCACGCAGGACCACATCTTCGCATCCCGAGCTACCTCCCCCGTCACCGACATCCTCTTCTACGGCTCCACGGACGTCGTCTTCTCGCCCTACGGCGAGCACTGGCGCCAGGTCAAGAAGATCGTCTCCGCGCACCTCCTCGCCACCAAGAAGGTCCGGTCCTACAGTCATGCACGCGAGCATGAGGTATTAACCTGACCATGCGTCAACTTTGAACCATCAGTGATTATATTGTTCCATGGACGATTGACTGAAAACAATTCACAACAGGTTTCAACCTAAGCGAACTGCTCGTCTCCTTTGCCAATGATATCTTGTGTCACGCCGTGTTTGGCAATTTCTTCAGGGAGAAAGGCCGGAATAAACTCTTCCAAGAGCTCGTCGACGCGAACTCGTCCCTCCTAGGGGGTTTCAACCTAGAGGACTACTTCCCGGTGCTGGTGAAGCTGGACATCATCAAGAGGATGGTGTGTGCAAAGGCCCACAAGGTGAAGAAGATGTGGGATGACTTGCTCAATACACTCATTGATGACTATGCAAGCATGCCAGCGTCGAAATGTGATGGGGACGAGACTTACTTCATTGATGTCTTACTCTCTCTTCAAAAAGAGTGCAAACTCACGAGAGACCATACTAAAGCGCTGTTGGAGGTACTGTATATATGGAATTATTATTATGGAGAGTACAAACTCCGTGACCTCACTCACAACTACCACTATCGTGCATACATTTATACATACATACATACATATAGCTCAAGTATATATATGTTTTTGATACTTATATACATGTATCCGTATGTATATAGGTCGTGTTCGAAGCTGGCACAGATACATCATTCACAGTGTTGGAATATGCAATGGTTCAGCTCATGCGAAACCCCCGCCTCATGAACAAGCTACAAGCCGAGGTGAGAAACGCTATAGCCAAGGGAAAAAAGATGGTTACAGAAGACGAGCTGGATAGCTTAGGATACCTAAAGGCAGTTATCAAAGAGACACTTCGACTCCATATGCCGGCACCGCTCCTTGTGCCCCACTTCTCCATGGCCGATTGCAACATAGAAGGATACACGATACCATCAGGAACACGTGCCATTGTCAATAGTTGGGCTCTTGCAAGGGATCCTAGCTATTGGGAGAAAGCAGAGGAGTTCAAGCCTGAGCGGTTCATGGAAGGAGGTAGTGCCACAGCTATAGACAATAAGGGAAATGATTTCCAATACTTGCCATTTGGGGCAGGGCGAAGGATGTGCCCGGGTGCAAACTTTGCAATTGCCAATACCGAAATCATGCTCGCAAACCTTGTCTACCACTTCAATTGGGAGCTCCCTATGGAATTAGCGAAGAAAGGCATCGATATGACTGAATCGTTTGGGGTGATAGTGCGTCGTACAAAGAAACTCCTCCTTGTCCCTATAGTTCCACAAGATTAACACATTTGTCTATAGAGTCCTTTATGTACACAATAGATCTAGGACTCGACTGTGCACTACCTATCACAATTGCATCACACTTGTGGGTTTTGGACTTGTTGTTTAGTACGCATACTAAATAAAGAAAGCATGCATTGCATCCTTACACCATGCATCAAATTGTTCATCATATTTGTGCAGGCAATTAACTAACAAAGAACTAGTCCAGTCAAAGTGGTAAAAATGGAAGCCAAAATTCATCACATGGAAGAATTAAGGCTTATGTCCCAAGTTGACCCACCAGTCTATGAATTAGCAATCACCAAGGCCACATAGTTACCGTAGTCCTATTAACTTAGGAATGAATCTACAAAACTAAGGGCGTATTTGCTTCTGAATCTGGGAATCTCGCCTGGGCCACGTAGCATTCCCAGGCGTTCGATTTCCATCCTCTGGGGTCGGATCTTGCTGCCTGGACGGAGATGCCCGGCAACGGCAGCAAACAAACACGCCCTAAGTGCAAAAGAAACAAGTGTGAAAGAAAAACACGAGAGAACGATCAAAAGCACCACAGGTCATATCATGCATGAACTTCTAAGTCGAGTTCATGCATGAAGTTTAGAAGTTTAGAGTCGGTTAAGATTGGAAGAATCACCACACACCCATTGTTGAGGGGTGTCATGTATATATATGTATATATATATATATAGTTCATGCATGAAGTTTAGAAGTTTAGAGTCGGTTAAGATTGGAAGAATCACCACACACCCATTGTTGAGGGGTGTCATGTATGTGTGTGTGTATATATATATATATATACACATGTACATGTGAATAGTACAACCTATGGTACAAGTAGAAATTACCAAAACAAAAGTTATAGATCTCAACGAGATGGATTATATTTCTTAGAGAAATTCTGGTCCCAAGTTTATATTTTTTATTTAAAAATAATTATTTTTGAATTTTAGAGATTTACCTATTGTTTTGTTATTTTTAGAAAAATATATGTACTCGAAACCATCTGTTAAACTAGTCAAGGGCTAAAGGTGTTCGGTTTTGATAGTTAGAGGGCTACCCAAATCTGGTTTTTGAGTTCAAGGGCTAAATTCATACTTCAACAGAAGTTCGAGGGCTGGAAATGGACTTTTTCATAAAATCAAATATGTAAACCCGCCGCCGCCCGTCACGGCCGCTCGTGCTCGTGACCTAAGTCACCCGCACAACAGTGGCTCCACGAGTCCGCACCGGACATGCAGCCACATGTGGGTCCCGTCGTGTCTCGGCATGGCCGCAAGGATGCGCCCTTGCGCGTGCCGAACGGCCGCCTCGCCTCATCCCGGCGAGCACTGCCCCACCGTGTCCCGGCCCGTACTCGCCGCAGCGAGCATGCGCCCTCGAGCATGCTGCCTGGCCTCGCCATTACGAGACAACCGCCCGGTGCCCGGCTCCTCTCGAGTGCCGCCAGAGCGCGCCTTTGCACAAAAAATTATGTATCTACAAAGTTAAAGCGTCTTATAATTTGAAATGGAGGGAGTAGTTCCAATTGGTGGTGCCTATTTGACATGACATGGATGGAAACTACAAGACAAAAATAACTGAGAACCGAGAACCAAACTGAAAGAACCGAAACCGAAAACTTTGGTTCCCACTTCTCAAGAACAAAAATTTACTCGGTTAATTCGGTTTCTTGGCTCCGTTCACCGAAATAACCGAAGAAACCGAATAATACACAAAGGCCCGGTAAACGACATTGTAGCCCAGCCCACAAGTTGTTGGTATAGGTATATATTTGTGGCAGAACTGTCCAAATTATGCTGGCCCATGTACACCTATCATTGTCTTAAAGACCTCCGACTGCTGTGCATGGGAACCAGATAATTCCGGTAGTCTGTCGGTTGTCCTCGGAGAACCCTGAATCATCCACTTTTAACATTCGATCAGGATCATTACAGAAGACATTGCAGTATTACAACAGTTGATATAAAAAATTACATCAGAGTTAACAAGCGGAAGTATTACAAACCATAAGTTTACAATTCGTTTATTCAAGTCTTATAAACCATAAGTTTTTACCTTCTCATACTAAATAAGATAGCATGACTAACATAATCTTATTCAACAAATAGATATCATCCTGCCCAAGGATGAGAGTACAACACATTTACTGTTGGCTATCATCTTCCAGAACCGACATATAACATGGATAAAAGCCTATCGGCTGCTGGGTTTCACCTGCAACAGGGGTTAACAAACCCTGAGTACTTGAGGGTACTCAACAAGACTTACCCGACTAAAAGAAAAGACTCCAATGGGATGCCGGCTTAAGGGATACAAGAGGGTTTAGCAAGAATCAAGAATAGCTTTCGCATAAAAGCTTACTACTTATGGATCCTTATTTTCAATATTTTAACTCGACATTAATTCATTGATAGTATCCAATTTGCACCTAATCTAAATCAAGCACTTAATTAAGCATCACATCTCTTATTTGCGATCATAAGCACCATGTTCCATTGATTAACTATGATGCATATCGAAGATTAAGTTTCTCACTATCCGGGAGAGGCGGCAATTCGAACTGATGTACATCCAGCTAGAGTAAACCTTAAACAGCAAGATGTATGCAAGTCCTAGACCTACATACATCAACCATTCTATCGGATCCTCCAAAACGTGAATGGGTTCACGCTACCCGAGAGCACAGTACTCCACCGCCCGACGCCATCCCGAACGGTACCGTAGGGTGGGTACACGCTACTCCCGCCATCTCTCCACTTCTAGTGCGCGATTGTCCTTTCCTATAATGGAATAGCCGAGGTACTCAGGCTTACCGAGGACATGCAGTTAAGTACTTTCAATCTTAATCAGCAGGTCTACAACGAACGGTCATCAACCGACACAGACGAGACAAGCACAGCTGGGCAACCCTGTTGGCTTAACCACCAAAAACATATCCCATGTCCCGTTCGGTCTCCATTTCCATCTATTTTCATATTCAATTTTTCAAGACACTTCCTGAGTAAAGAACCATTGCGAATGATGAAATCATCACTCGACTCTTATCAGCTAAGCATGGCTAAGCATTACTAGTATATCATTATAAAAGGGTGATAAGGATAAGTATTTAGAATATCAAGGCAGGCATGCAACAATTGGTATTCAACCATTTCCTATTACTTAGTGCACATTTCAGTGGACTGAAATGATAAAACATTTATAAACAACAAGGAAGGGGTTATATGCTCTGGGGCTTGCCTTGGTTAGTAGAGGTGTTAGGTTCTTCTGATGAACCACATATATCAAAACCAACCTCCACTAGTGGATTTTCTTTCTCTGGAACTTGATTAACGATCACTTCCCCACTTTCGGTCACTACACGTAATAAAGGATGCTTGCTTGACATTATGATATGCAATAAACATAATGCATGAAAGATGCATACGGGTGCATGGATGAACTCCAACAAGATTAACAAACTTGAGTACAACTTTCCTTCACAGTACAGTTGCACCACTAGGTTCATTAAATAGTGTTTATATTCACTAAAAAGCATTTTAATTATTTACTAACAAGTTGATTAATTATCTATAAGAAAGAAATTAACTTTCAATGGAACAGCAGGGGTTTTTCATGTTCCAAGGTCCACAACAGTAATAAAAACACACAAAAACCATTTAAACATTTATCTAAATCATTTTACTGTTTATTAAATATATTAAAGGCATTTAAACACACTTATATTAATTATGCAAGTTAGAATTATCAAAATAGAACCAAACTTTTTGCGGAGACAGGTATTAGCACATGACATTTACACAAAAAAGTTTCATGATTAAAGGATTATTATTTTGGTCTACAAAAATCATACATATAGCATTTTTCTATTAAAATATGTAATTTTTGAGCATAGCAAAACTATGGAATACAGCCAACTCATATTTTTCTTAGCTAGAGCACTTCATAACAAAGCTACACAAAATTTTTCATAATTTTATCACACTTCTATAATTAATTATGAATTAAACAAGAATCTACTCATTTTAATATTTTCTGAAAAACAAAAAGGATCAAAAAACCATTTTCACCCGCACCCAGCCAGCCTCTATGACTGACAAGCGGGACCGAGTCAGCGGCATAGTGCGCTCGAGCGCAGACACGGGTACAGCACGTTTGATTGGCGGGTACTAACCGGCGGTGACCTCGCCGGCAACAAGACCGACACCTACATGCTCCCCACAACCACGCGCATCGATCTAGGGCACTAGTTGGGTGACTAGGGTTACGCGTCGTGCTCAACAACGGCCTTGGTGGCCATGGCAGCGCAGCGCTCGACATGCCAGCCGTTAGAGATCGATAGAGGTTCGGATAAGGCGTCTGATATCACTAGGAGCTCACCACGATCTCGCACAGCTGCTCGGGTGAGGTGGAGACGAAGTAAAGATGCGTCTCCGTCGGTGCTGGTAGACATGGTGGCATGAATCGACGTCGCGACGACGTTCTAGCGCATCCTGTAACGGAACAAAGAAAAGGGAGGGTCGTTGAGCATCAAGAGGCCACGGCGAACACAACACAAAGGAGGAGAGGGAAAGAGATCGACCAGAGGTAGCTGGCCATGACAAAGGGATCACGGCGGCGCTGCAGACCGTCACGGCGAGAATTCGGCGTATGGGTGACTCCGGCGGTGAACGTCGGCACAACTGTGCTCTAATGAAACGAAAGGAGAAGGCGACGCTATGGGCGAGAGGAATTGGACTGGGATGAAGCGACTGCGGTAAATTTTGCCACCGCGTGAGCTTGCGGTGGTGGAGCAGAGAGAAGGAGAAGGAGGCGATGGTCGTCACTAGGGTCGTAAATGGTGAGGATTAGCAATCCAACTTGTCTAGTTGTGGCTCGAGTTGGCCACACGGGTGGCTGCGCATCAACACGCGAGAAGCATCGCGAACGGCTTCGGTGGCCGCCGGTGAACAAAGAGACAGAGGGGAAGAAAGAGACGGCACCGGGTTACTGTTCACCGACTG